TTGCGGTTCCTTGGCCGCGGCCCTCTCTCGGCGGGCTTCTTCAGGATGGGGAAAATACTGAGTGAGGTCGAGAATTTCGACGCGGTGGCCTTGGCAGGCACCCAGAACGGAGAGAACACCAGCGGCGCCGAGACGATGCAGCGCTTCATTGCGGGCGGGCGAATCATCGAGGCTCCCCGCGGCAAGGCGCCGCGCTCTAAAAATCCGCGCGGGCGGGCGGTAGCACTACCACAACGGGCGAAATAACGACGTGGAATGCAGGCATGGGTTGATCATCCACGGCCTTGGGGCGCGGAGTAGCCGCGCGCGTGCAGATGGGGGCCGCGGACATGCGCCTCCGGTTTGCGCACTTCCCCCCTCGACCGACTGCGCGACAAGCGCGCGGGGCCTAGTTTAGAGCTGCTGCGATATATTTCCTGGATTAACAAATATTCTAGATGCGTCGCCAGCAAGATGGGCCCCCCTGATCTTCGCGGATTTAAGCGACGGCGCGGGTTTGCACCTCGTCGACGGGAAACGGGTCGAGTGCGAGTCTGACGCGGTGGGGCCTGGAAACTGGGGAACGCTCCAGAGAGGAGCTGGCCATCAATTCAGACCTCTCTTGGAACGCCACCACCCCTGGGCTGCCAGCGCTGCCGGGGCCACCGTGGCCGCGACCTTATTCGGCAACGACTCGAACTCCAGGATTGACGACCCGTGCTGTCTTCTTGGCATGCGCCTCCTCGTTCAGAGTTGCGGCTGCTCGAGGCGTCAAGGAGCCAAACTGCAGGCCGCCCACGGGGGGCGCCCCCAGAGGGCCGCCTTCCAGTTGCCCTCGCCCTGCATTGCAACAAAGGAAACCAGCGTCACGAAGAGGAGGAGGAGGAGGAGGGGGAGGCAGGCAAGGAGACCCCTTGGGATCAGGAAAAATTGACGCACGCGCTTCGACAAAGGCCCTGGGCGCATCGAGTTCCTCGAGGCCTTCCGCGCAGGGCCCCAGCTTTCAAACCCGCAGTGGCTGCGCGACCGCGCATCTCCTGACGAGATGCTCGAAGCTCTGGAGACGGCGCTGCGAGCTGCAGGAGAGCAAGTTGTTTTGTAGGGGGCAGACTGTCGACCCAGAGTATCATATGTTTCCGAAGTGCCGCCGCAGGCTCTTGAGGGAAAGAGCTGAACCACGCGGCGCCAAGTTCCCCCATTTCTGGGGGCGTCGATCGCATCGACCAGCAGCTCCGAGATTGCCGCGAGGCTGCGTAAATTGAGGAGACATGCAACGAGGAGGAGGAGGGCTAGACTGACGGAGGAGTATACTGAACACTAGGAGTTTCGACGCGCCGCAGAAGCCATGCCCGCAGCGAGCCGAGCCGCTGCGTGCAGGTATGGGCCGAAGCGACGAGATGGCAGGCTCGCGCGCGCTTGCGCAACCCCTGCACCGGCCCGGCTAACCACGCGGAAAAGGAGGGGAGATACGGGGGCATGCGTAGCACGGAACTTGACTGGGAACGGTAGCGGGAGGACCACGATGACGACTGCGCCTTTGCGGACGGCGGGGAGGCCACCGACCTTGCCAAGGAAGATATCTTGCAGATGCGCAGCTGCGTGCGCTTGGCCCCAAAGAGACGAGCTGCGCCGAGTTGTTGCGCGCCTCTCGAGCTCTGGCACATGGTAATGCGCCCCAACTGGCGAAAGGACTATATACAAGGCATTGGAGCTCCCTCGCAGGCCCTCGACGCGAAGGCTTTCTGGTTTCTATGTGGTATTGGTTTGCATAAGATGCGTGCCGCCAGCATGGCCCCGAAGTGCTGGAACTGCAGCCCTGGGGCCCCCTACACAATAACCACAAGCGAGGCCCAATGGACAAATGAGTTGTTCATACCCTTCCTGTCCCTGGCAAGGCGCTTGCGTTGCCAAGACAGCGCGCGCTGACTATGGCTTCGCCAGGGGAAAGAGGAGGGAGACGGCTATCCTGGCATCAAATGTGCTTTCACTCCGGCTACGTCGGGCTCGCGGGGCTCACGCATTGCGGTCCAAGGATATGAGCAATGCGTTCGCTGGCGGCAAGTGGCCGCTTATGGGTGCCGCTGCGCGCGAATCTGTATCGCCCGATTATCGGGGCTTTTTTGTCTCCGATATCGACAGGCCGTGGTGGCTCTACCTTGCGGGGAGGGCGGGGGAATTGCTCTGGGGCCTCGGCGTGGAGGGCCCATGGGGGGCCCATTCATCGTGCAAGCTTTCAGCGGGACCTCCCAGCCACCTGTGGCGGAGCGAAGCGGCGGCGCACGGAATTCCGACCAATGCAGCCGCGAGTTGATTGCGAGATGGGCAGAGTCGAACATCGAATTGATCTTATTTAGTTAAGCGTGTGGGCGACATGCATAATTTTGCCCTGGCAGGTTCCGATTCTACCCTATCACACTCCGTGCGGAACGTTTAAGCAGCAGGACGCATATATTAATGCTATGCTGGGCTCCCGTGGTAGGGAGCCCAGAAAAGACGTACGCGCCCAACTATGTACATGAACGCGGCCCCTCGGTCCGCGAGACCGGCCGCGTTACACGAACATTTGCGCAGTGCGTGCCCTCGAAACCAGCGTGGATTCATGTACGTGTACGTCCTTCTGTCGCTCCGGACGTGGGTTCTGCCAGAACAGGTCTAAGCAGGAGTTTATGGTGTACTTCGGTGAGCACAGCGCGCATCTTAAGCAAACTCTTAAAAAAGGGAATGGACTTCGAGGGCTCAATGCGGGAACCAATTCGCTACATGGCCCCCCGCGTGGCTCTTAGAGACAGCGCTAACCATGAGATCGATCGACGCATCGCCGCTCCCTGGACATCGTTTCGCTCGCTGGGGTCAGTCCGGCAACTGGAACCCCCATGGAAGTTCAAGCGTTTATTACTACATGTTTTCGCCTAAAATGCACTGTTCAGCGGCCTGGAGGCTTTATATTTATCTGAGCGAGATTATGCGCGACTGGAAGCCGCAATGGCACATTCCTGTAGGATTGCGACGGCTGGCAAGGCCACGGACTGGAGCAGAGTTCACCCACGCACGGTGACGAACAACTCTTTACTGGTGCATTGGAAACTGCCTGTCCTTCTCTCGAGCTTCGGATGCGTCGAGCTCGTCTCGTCCAGAGTTGGGCCAGAATGATAACCCACCACCTCCAGATCCTCGGGGCCCTCGTCGGTGCGCTACTCTTCGAGCAGGAGGGGCCGATTCTTCCGTCTGGAGACCTCGGTCCGCGCGCGTGCCCCTGGGCCCGTCAGATACGAGAAGACCTTAGTTGCATGCCTATTGTTTTGGGTGAAGAAGTGTCTGCTACGGCGGATCGGGATTCCAGGTCGCCCATGGATGAAACGACGTCCCTTTTTTCCGTGGATGCCTCTGCTTGTAGATTGAAGCAATACACCGTCAACATCCCTCGTCCCGAACATGTTCCGCCCGCGCCGCATGAGCCAGGGGCCGTGGAGGATGCCCATGGCGCTGACCATCAATGGAAAAGCTGGCCCCCCAAGGAGGAAAACGGAAACGTGATGTGCGACGCCTGCTGCGGGGCGCGTCGAAACCTCATGGTCCACCTCAGGGGGGCCCACGGGCTGCGTAACATCTGCTACGTACCTACTCCTACCAATGCATGTGTACACTGCCGCCAAGTTTTCGCATGCCGAGCTCACGCTGCTAAATGCGTCATGAGATCTACGCTTCGAGGACACTGTGAAACGGTGGGGCCTAGTACGCTTCGGGACATCGCGCCTGTCAACGCGTTCGCCTGCCCAGTATGCGAGTTTGGCGGCTCGAGTCTTGACGATCTCTGCGAACACCTCTGCGCGAGTCTACCTCTGCGACCGCGCCCGTTTGATGATGGGAGACGGCAGGGAGGGCGCAGCCATGGAGCGGTCTGTGGCGCCACCCTCGTGGTTCAGCGGTGGCAAGACCAAGATGGGCGCAGAGGCCGACGACGCGGTCGCGGACAACAAGCACAAAGGGGGGGAGGTCGACAACAAAAACGGGGGCGCTGGTGCAGGCAACAAGCTCGGCGTCCACAGCGCCAGGCTCACCATGGCGATCGCGCGGGCACAGTGTACCTCCGATACGAGATGCCAGATGCGACGGAGGGGGTGACGGCTGCGAGCAAGTCGGCGGGAGTGGCATGCAATGAGGCGAGCCTGGAAATGAAGAAGACCGCTCGCGAAGGCGGATACGTGAACTACAAGGAGCGAAGTCCTCCCCACGCGCACATAGTGATGGCGGCCATCCTGTATGGCGCGGGCAAGCAGCCGGCGAAGGTGGCAACCCAGACCAGATCAAGCTCAGAGATGAGATGAAGGAAATCTACAACGCGGCGATCATGCGTCCAAGCCTCTCGTCTTATTCATTCATTCATCCCCCCTCTCTCATCCACTGACCCTCCTCCTGCTCCCCCCATACCGTTCCTCTTCCTCCCCCTCGAAAGCGACGACGACGATGATGAAGGCAACGATCACCGACCGACCGACCGACGACCACGACCACGGCGACCAGCGGATGAAGACGACCGGCGGACGACGACGACGACGACGACGACGACGACGACGACGACGACGACGACCGACAACGACCGAAGACCATTAGCAGGCGAACGACGGTATAATGTAAACTTTCGCGGGGTCAGGGTCGCCGGCCCCAGGGCGGCTGGAGAGCTTTCATACCTTGCGATAGACTTCGGGGTATCAGCCTTCCAACTGCCATGGGGCAGGCGTCCCCGGCGGCGGACAAGTCTACAGTCGGGGCGCATACGAGAGGACACGCGACAGGACACGAGACTCTTCCGGCGGTAACATGGCGTCCAACAAGGGCACCCTCAGTCCGAACACGCAGAGGACATGAAAAGGGTCGGACAGAACACGAGAGTACTGTTACTTTTGCAGGATGGACCTACCAGTGCGCCCCGACTGTATTTCATACCGTTCGTCCGCTAAGACAACGGCGGCGACGACGGCGACCGCCGACGACCGCGGACAAAACCCCGCCGAGCCCGAGGCCAGCTGCGGGGCCTTGCCGGTCATCATCCTGCTGGCAGCCGAGGTGGCGTACTCGTTGGCGATGAACCTCCACCCCGGCTTATGTTGCTCCCATCGTGCTTAAGGACGACATCACAGAAACAATTTCGAGCACCCAGGAAAGTATCGAAACAGTGTCGGACGAGTATCGCCTCCCAGGGCCCGACACGTGAAAACCCTCAAGCTTCGGCACTTTCTTGGTACTCGAAACTCTTTCTGGTGATCAAGTTACGTAGTCGGCTACACGCAAGAGTGACCCGGTGCGCGACTTTTTGGGGGCCGCGGGGGGACCAGACCTAGGCGCGCAAGCAGCTGCTACTGCTTCGTTGCCAGCCATCTGGAGACCCATCTGTGCCCGCACCAAAGCTCACTCCGGCGAAAGGTCACTCTTACGTCTAGTCGACTTTCTTGGTACTCGAAACTCTTTCTGGTGATCAAGTTAATCGGGTCGGGCGAGAGGGGGGGATAGCAAAGGGGAGGTTTGATAATCAGCTCACGTAGCTGATTTTCCCGGCGCCTCCCGGCGCTGGAGTCGGCCATGTAATGTATCGAGGAATAGGCCCCTCGGTGGAGCCGAAACTAGCTGCATGCAGCAGATTTCGTAACCCACCCTTTCCCAATCCCCCCCCTTTCGTCCGAACCGAAACTCTTTCTGGTGATCAGGTCAAGTAGGTGGAGGAGGAGGAGGAGGAGGAGAAGGAGGGGAAGGAGCAGGAGGAGGAGGAGGAGGAGGAGGAGGAGGAGCAGGAGGAGTACACGAAACTCTTTCTGGTGATCCAGTCAAGCAGGTTGGAACACCATGAATCTCGGCGCCGCCCGGCCCCGCTCCTCCCTGCCGCTGCCGACCTGGTGAGCCTGCGCGGCGCAGACAGCTGCCGCCCCGCCGCCGCCCCCTCCCGGGTGAGCCTCGCCGGGGGGCTCTCGGCACCTCCGCGGCCCTTCACGTTGGTCGAAAGAAGTAGTTAGAAACATGAAGTAGGAAGGCGGATATAGTAGATTGGGTCCAGGTCCTCCCCGCGAGTGCCAACACACGGCAAAAAAGCATGCCGATTCTTGAAGTGGGAAGGCGCTTGAAGTAGATGGGGATCTGGGAATCCAAAAATACCTACTTTCAACGACCAAGAGAGGGGGGTGCAAATCATGACCGGCGGCACGTGTGCGGCCCAGCGGGGGGCCGGGGACGTAACGAAATGAGAAGAGGCGCCATGAAATCTGGGGAGATTTCATGGCCCACGCCATGATATCCACCCCCGCTAGTCATCACCCCCCTCTTTGCCGCCCCCGACCTCCGCGGCCCTATGCTGAACGTGACTTCGACCGGATTTCGTCCAGATTTTGACCGCCCCTCGTCACCCTTTCGTCCAGATGTGGACGGATTCCAGCGAAATGCGGACGACATCTTCCAAACCGCAAGGGATTTGGGGACCATCGGAGGCTCCCATGACCACACAACTCCTCCTCCACCTCCTCCTCTTTCTCCTTCTCGAACCTCCAAGCGCAAGGGCAATACAATCTAGTTGGTCTCAAGCGAGAGCCGCATTTTGAAGAGGACATCCATCAGTGCAGCTGCTGAACGTGTGGCACGGGAGAAAGCCCGAACCAAGTGTTCGTGCAGCAGATTGTTCGTCGCGCTGCTGGGGGTGAGAGCAAAGGCTGCCGAATGCTGTTGCCCTTGTTCGCTACTCCCTACTCTCTGCGCTTTGTTCACTCTCTACTCTCTCTCTCTCTCTCTGCTCTCCACGCTCTATTCTGTACTCTGGGCTCTCTACTATCTTCTTCGTTGGCCGAATCTCTGCAATGCTGGCAGACTCGGGACCCGCAACCCGTAATAAACATAATAAACCCAGGAAGTCCGCCACCAAAACGCCCACCGACGCTGGCGGCATACTCAGGGGAACTCGGGAACGCGCTGTGAGCCTGGCCGCCAACAGAGCTCGGCGGGAAACGTCTCGAACCCTCACCAAGCGGGCCTGGTCGTTTGCCCATATCAGCCAAAACCTTTGAAGGGGCCCACGGACACACAAATCCAAGGATCCCCAATATTTTCATATATTTTCCGGGTTTTCGTCTTCCCCCCCACTTCCCATATTTCCCATATTTTCCAGGGGATCGACGATTAATAGTGTCTGTGTTTTGCCCCTCCTGAACCTTCGCCGAATCCTGACTACTTCCTCCAGCACTGGTGCCCGCGGCTGCTCAAACGCTGTGAAACCAGCCTGCGCGGCATCAGTGGAACAACCGCATTTTGAACACGGGCCGCCATCCACCCAGAACCTCCCACTCTCCTTCATTTCCTTCTTCCTCCCCGCTCAGCGAAACGCCGTAGACATGCTAGGAGAATAGTGGAACCTGGAATCTGGGTGCTGACGCCGTCGCCTTTCATGATGATGCGACGATGCGCATGGAACCCTCGCTGCACCATCACTGGGCATCACCGCCAGCGCTTCTACTTCTGCTGCGGCCATCCACGCAGCGCCTGGACGCCGAAACTGCAACAACAAATCCGCAGCATGTGCTTCGCGCAGCGAGAGTCGGCTAAACGCAGGAGTGACCCTGGGTAAGAGTGACCTTTGGTGCGCGGCTTTTTGGGGGCCGCGGGGGGACCAAACACAGGCGCGCAAGGCGCTACTATCGCATCGCGTTCGGCGATCGGGGGGCCCCACTGGGTCCGCACCAAAGGTCACTCATGCGAAAGGTCACTCTTACGTCTAGTCGAGAGAGGCTGCAGGAGCGGCCAAGAGGGGGGGTCCAAGAGGGGAGGATGCAAATCATGACCGGCGGCATGTGCGCGGCCCAGCGGGGGGGCCAGGGACGCAATGAAATAAGAAGAGGCGCCATGAAATCTGGGGAAATATCATGGCCCCCGCCATGCTATCCCCCCCCCCTAGTCATCCCCCCCCCTCTCTGCCGCCCCCGGCAAAGAGGCTGGGGCAGACAGGCCTGGTGAGCTCCCTCAGCTTCTGCACCGGCAGCTTCTTGATGTCGAGGCTCCGCACGTCGACGTCCGCCGCCTCGCGCGCAGCACTCGCGCGCTCCCGGCCCGCTAGGCCTCCGGGCCCCACGACTTCCTTGCCTGGAGGCCTCCTAGATTTAGGTCGGGCCTGTCCCCCCTACAGGGGGATTTTGGACGAACCCCCAAAAAACGCAAAAAATGATCAACAAAAGCCCAAAAATATGCTTAAAAAAATCCCCATACTATTTTTTACTATTTTTGAATATTCCCCCTGTATAGGGACAGGCCCGACTTAATCCTAGATGGGGTCGGAGTAAATAGGGTCGGAGGATCGCGCTGCATCGCCGACACAGCGACGATACATCGCCGACGCATCGGCAATGCATCGGCGGCATCGGCGATGCATCGGCGACGCCAACGTGGAGAACATCGGGCCCCACATCGAGCCGCATCGCCGATGCATCGACGATGCGGCACGATCCTCCGACCCCATCTACTCGGACCCCATCTAGGAGGCCTAGGTTGCCATTCTTCCATTCCTCCTCACTGCTGTATGTGCGAGGATGGGCACCCTGAGCTCTCGCAATTCAGGGTCGACCCCAACTTCCCTGTATGAGAATATCTAGCAAATAGCAAGCAAGTGGCAGCAACATCTCTGCACCCTGCTCCCTCATGCCGGGATTCTGGAGAACGTGCGGGAAACGGTGGGTGAGGGAGGACACTGCGGCACAAACGGGAAGGGAGGAGTGAGGAGCAGGAGGGGGAGAAGGGCAGAGGAGGAACGAATTTGGAGGGAGGAGCGAAGAGGGGGAGGGGATAAGAGAGGTGTCGCGTAAGCCACGTCGAGCGAGTCGGCGGGACCCGACCACCCCCACTCCCCCTCCCAGAATATTCGCGCGACGATCGTGGCGCATTTTTGGGCTGGAGCGCGCTTCCACGTAGCGAACTGAAGGCTCTCGCGCGCGGTCCCGAGTTCGACGACACGGCGAAGGGCAAAAACGCAGACCGCGCAACGGCGGGGGCGGAACTTCATAAAATCTGCGCACGGAGCCGGGGCGAAAACACCGTGTGGCCTTCTCATTTGTTTGTTTTGTTCTCTCTCTCTCTCTCTCTCTCTCTTTTTTCGCTCTCTCTCTCTCTCTCTCTCTCTATCACTCGGAGGAGGAGGAGGAGGAGACGAGGAGGAGGGTTACAATTCCGATGATCACGGCGAAGACGAAGCATGCGCCGCGCCCGAACAACACAGCCAGCTTTACGCGCAAACTGCGCGGCGTTTGGGCGAGGGCAACATTTCGCCCGTTCTCGCGCGGCCTCGCTGTCATTCCCGCGTGCACGTGATTCGGGGGGAGGAGAACCATGCGCCGCGCCTGCGCAGGATCGCCCACTCCGAGCGAAGTGTGCCTGGAGCCTGCGGGAGGGCAGCGAGTTGCCCTCTCGCACGCGTCCCCGTCACAACGACTCGGTGAATGACAAACAGAAGCCGCGCCCAGGCGGGACCTCCACTTTGAGGCGAAATCTGTGCGGCGACGGGGCGAAAGCGACATTTCCGCCCCCGCGCGCGTGTCAACAACTCGGCGAACGAAGCAACAATGCGCGGCGCCGAAATGAGACCGACACTTCGCCCTGGCGCGCGGGATATGCGCCCCCATTCCGGCCCCGCATCTTGCACCACCGACATCAAAGCGTGCATGTTGAAAGGACAAGGCCGCCCTGATATGGTTCTTCCATCTGCAAGATGGAACCACCTGGATGCGGCCCCTATCTGCACATACTAGTCAGGATTATGGTGAGGGGCGCTGGGGGCCCCAGGCCAAGTTTGCGCCGAAATGCAGCGCCGACTGAAGTGTTATGCCGCCATTCCTTCGTCGACCTGCCCGCGGCGCGGTCCGCTTGGCGACCGGCTCGGCTCGCCATCGCGGCCTGCGGTACGGGGCCAGCGACGTTATCGCCGGCCCCCAGCTCGAGGTCGCCAACGACGGCTTTTCGATGGCCAATTTCTTGTCGGCCATGCAACGGAACTGTCGCATTGGGCGCGTGTTTCCGGGCAGCAAAGTGGACGAGCGCTCGGCAGGGAAAGCGCGGCAACGCACACCCTCGATTCCTGCCGCCAACATGGCGGACAATGTAGCCATCGTCCCTCCTCTCCGCAGGGAAGGGCATGTCCGCTGTGAGCTTCATCCCGTGCGAGCGCGTCCTCCAAGACCCCCCGGTGCGGGAGAAGCTCTCGCGCCACTTGGTCCAGCGCAGCGCCGCGATGCCAGCGATCGCGCGCCCGCGCCAGACTGATGTTCGGCCCCCGTGCGCCGGTGACGCGTTGACCTTCGCGATCCGCGTCGCCTCGGGCCACCTCGGCCGGAACGCGTCGAGAGCGTTCCCGCTGGGCGACCCAGGAGTCGCGGCCCTCGACGAGGCGCGTTCCAAAAATCGCCAGGGACAGCCCCAAAAGCTGGCAGGGGCGTCGAAGACGCGGGCGTGGAGGCCGTCCCCGCCGTGGTCGCGCGCCCGCAGTCTGTGCGGAGCAGGCGGGGGGGGGGTCCTGAGGATTTTCGGCTCTCTTCTTTCCCTGTCTCGACGAATGCCGCGGCGCCCGCGGGCCCCCCCTCGCCCTCGGTGACGACGCGTTCATCGACGACTGGGCAGCCAGCCGCTCTTGCAGAGGGAAACTTCAAGATCTGATACCGGCGCGCTCCTCCGAGATCGTGATTGGGCGCTTCCGCCTGGCCCGCCATCGACTGAAGCGCGGCGGCGTGATCGAGCGGGGCGACGAATGACCCGCGGAGGTTCCAGCAGCTGGGCTCGCGCCTCGCGCGCGGCGGCGGCGCGATCTCGACGCCGCCGCTGACGCAGTCACCAGGCGGCCGCCTGCGCGCCCGACGCTTTCGCCCCGCTGGGGCGGCTTGGAGGTCGGGCCGTCCTCCGTCGACACCCGGCATCTGCGCGATGTCCTTGAGCTCGCGGGGCGCGCCCGCGCCCTGTCGTAGCCGGCGGCAACAATCGCGCCGACGATGGCCTCGACCCCCACCTGGGCCCCGGAACTCAGCGCGCGCGCCGCGCTGTGCGTCGACAAACTGATGGCGGGCCCAGCCGCGCGCGCCGCTGCCCCCCCGCCGCCGCTGTACTTCGCGCACCTGGACAGCGCGATGTCTGGGGGATCGGCAGGGGCACGCAGGTGCTGCGCGCCCGGGAGATCCAGGGCCTCGACGACGCGGCAGCGCGCAAGGTGGCAGCGGTCGGCCTTCCCCCGCCCTTCAGGCGCAAGTGTCCTGAGCAGTTCCAGCAGAGCATCTCTCTCAATGTCTCCACCATAGCTGCTATGGCTCGAGAGACCGTCGCTGGGGCACCCGCGTGGGCCTCTTCCGGCGCCCAGCACTGTGCCGGAGTCGCGCGCCGCCCTCGCGGGCCCCGGCGACCTCTGGGCGCCGCCGCTCGAAGGCCCTCGGCAATCGAGTCCGCCGCGTGCAAGAGCGGGCTGTTGGGGCCGAACTCCACGTGCCCCAGCCCCCGATGGACTGCTTTACCTTTCTCCTCCAGCTCCTGCTTCAGCCAATCCGCCGACGCCAGAGCACCCTTTGGAGGAGGCGGGGCCCCGGCGAGCCCGAAGCAGTTTTTTTTCGGGGGCGTGCGGGGTGTCATCCGAGAAGAAGCCGATTAGGGATCAGCGCTGTCGCGAGGTGGAAATGGGCATTGTCGCGCTCTCGACGATGGGCGCTGCGAACCGAAGAGCCGCTGACGCAGTGGTCCTTCTCATCCCCGGCCTCCAATTGTGGTTTGGCGCAGACGTCGCTCTGTTCTTCCTTCTCTGTCTGACTCGCGTGTTTGTCTTCATCCGAATCTGCGTCTTCGCCCTGGCCCCTCTGCCTCGGGGGGGGGCATGGGGGACTGCGCCCTTCGACGTGCAATTTCGCCTTCGCTGTCGCTCGGTGACAAACCGACTCGCGACCGACTCGTCGCGGCCGGGCCCTCTCCGATCTTCTGGTGCTGGCCGGGTCGCGGTGCCCGCTGGAAGCGACTCCTGGTCATGCCCCGAGGCGCTCGCGGCGCTGTCGCGAGGCACCTCGGTGCCCCCTCATTCATCTCCGTCTCGACCTTGCTCATCTGGTCATCGGCATGCTCTTCTTGTCCTCTATATCCTTATTATTCCCTTTCTGGGGCATCTGCGTCGCCGGGCGCGTCGGCCACGATCGCGTGCCGAGGTCGCTTGCCATGGGGCTCCTTAGAGTGATCGGTGATGCCGGCAGGGGCTGCGTGCGTCGCGGCGTCTGCGCGGCTGCAGCGCCGCCGGCGCGGCGCGCGCATGCCCGGGGGCGCGGCCGTCTGGCAGCGACAAATGAAGCGGCGAACCGCTGGGAAGTTCCGGCGGCCCTCCTCCAGCCGCTGGCAGGCCCTGCAGAAACAGCTGGTCCGTGGGCACATGTATAACTGATGCATCTGCGCCTGTCGCCTGGGCGCCCCGTCGTCGCAATTCCATCTTGGCTGGGCTCTGGATCTGGCCCATCCGCGGGGGCTGCGGCTGGTGTCGCGGAGCTCCTGCGCGGCCGCCCCGCCCTTGCGTCGAGGGCGGGCCGATGGGGCGCTCGAAGGGCAGCTCTGCGTCGGCGCAGTTGCGTGGCGCTTCAGCCGACGCGCCCCGCGCGTCCCAGGGTGTTCCCGCCCATGAGGGAGTCCCTCTTCGGAATGCCAAGGTGCCTGGGCACCCTCCGCAGCGCGCTCGCGCTCCCGGCTCGAGCGCCCTGCGGTGGCGGCTTCGGTTCTGATGCGGCGCCCGACGCGCAGTCGCGGGGCACCTCGCCCGCGGCCTTCGCAGTCTCTCCCCCCCATGGCCGCCTCGGCCTGTCCCGCCCGCCCGCGCGTCGCAGAGTCCTCCGGCGCGCGGCGAATGCAGCGTCGCCCCCTGCGTTCTCTGGGGCCGGCGCCCGCGGGTCGACGTCGGCCGCCGCGCGGCGCGCGTCGAGGTCGCGCATGTCGGGGTCGACGCGGCAGGGCCGGCAGAGCTCCGCGTCAAGATTGCCCGCCGCGAACGGCCCGGTCTTTCAGATCTCGCTGGCAACCCAGCAGTAGCCG